ATACCCACCCAGATGCCTTTTATATGTTGTAATTGTACCAGCTTCCACCACTTCCTCTGGCAGTTCATTCCATTCATGCACCACCCTCTGCATGAAAACATTACCCCTTAGGTCCCTTTTAAACTTTTCTCCTTTCACCTTAAACCTATGCCCTCTAGTTTTGACTCTGCACCCAGAGAAAAAGACCTTGTCTATTTAGCCTATCGATGTCCCTCATGATTTTATAAACCTCTATAAAGTCAACCCTCAGCATCTGACGCTTCAGGGAAAATAGCCCCAGTCTATTAAGCCTCTCCCTATAGCTCAAACCCTCCAATCCTGCAACATCCTTGTAACTCTTTTCTGAACCCTATCAAGTTTCACAACATCTTCCCTATAGCAGGTAGACCAGAATTGCACATAGTATTTCAATTGTGCCTAACCTATGTCCTGTACAGCCGCAACATGACCGGCCAATTCCTACCAACTCAATGCACTGATCAAGAAAGGCAAGCATACCACAAATGCATTCTTCACCACCCTGTCTACCTGGGACTCTACTTTCAAGGAACTATGAACCTGAAATTTCTATCAACAATGCCCAAGTAATAAATTCAGATGTTTCTGTAATTTTACTTTTGATAATTGGAAATTATTAATATAAATCAAACACCACAATTGGCACATTACACTTAGTTATATTCTGTGTGCATATATCACCATATGTAATCATTCATCCAATTGTTATGCATATATACTCCTTTATTTGCATTGTGAAAAATATTTAAGCCAAAACCATTTCCAATAACACATTACTAATTATTATACTGTCTTTTGTGGCATTGTTTACAAATGTTAATTGCATTTTCTTTTTTCTTCAAAAGTAATATTAATTGGCTGTGAAAAGCAACATATAATGGATGTTTGTTCATTCATATCACCTTCAACATTATATTTTCAAAATGTTCCATAAGACCAGGTGGGTGATATCAGTTACACAAAATGGGCCTGAAGCAGTTCCACTGCAAACATAAAGTAAAGAACTGATTAAGAGCCAGTTGCAGCTCATTCAAAAACAGAATTCCCCTGACAATGCACCTCTCAAATTTATTGTATCAGAATCTACAATTAAGTCAAACCCTGTATTTCCCTTCCAGAGTGTGTGAAACCAAAGCAGATCTCTTCAGATTGTATCTTGCTGTATATTCGGCTCTAAAATAACTAAGGGATAAAGACAAAAGAACTTAATTTTAAGTATGAAGAATAAAATTCATGGAACTGACTTTCTCTGAAAATCAGTTTCAATGGCACCTTTACCAATACTAGCTTTCAACTGCAAATCTTTCATCAACTGAATTCAAAATTTCTCCAGCTACCAAAGTAGGATTTGAACCCACATGCCCAGAACATTTGCCTCTTTACAAGTCCAATGACAATACCACCAGGCCAGTTTCTCCACCATTACCCAATCTATGTTTATTTTCTCCATTATAGAGACCAAGCTGTCAGTAAATTTTCCTACAAGACTAGCACTGTTTTTCAGTAAGTTAGGCCACAGGAAAAGACTATTCAACCCTTCATGCCTACTCCTCCATTCAACAGGATCACGACTGATCCAACATTCTACATGTCCACATTCCCCATAACCCTTGATTCCAATGATCAAGAATCTCAGCTCAAGAACCCTGCTCAAACAGTTTTGTGGCAAGGAGTTCCAAAGACTCTCAACCCTCAGAAGAAATTCCTCTTCATCTGTCTTAAATTGGCACCCCTTAATTCTGAGACTATGCTGTATGGTCCTAAACTCTCCCCTAAGCCCCTTAAGAATCTTTTATGTTTCAATGAGATCACTTCTCATTCTTCTGAGCTCCTATGAGCAGGGTTCCAAACTGTGAACCTTCTCTGAACTACCTCCAATGCAACAATATCTGTCCTTAAATAAGAGGCCAAAATTGCTCACAGTACTCCAGATATCACCTTGCATGGTTGCAGTAATATTTCCTTACTCAAACTCCAAACCCCACGAAATGGGGCCAACATGCCATTAGCCTTCCTGATTACCTGTTACACCTGTGTGGTAGCTTTCTACGTTTCATATACAAATATCCCAAGTCCCTTTGTGTTGCAGGTTTCAGCAGTTTCTCTCCAATTAGAGAACATTTTTACTTCTGTTCTCCCTTCCAAAATGAATAACTTCACATTTTCCCACATTATACTCCATTTGCCTACTTATTTAACTTAAACATCTCTCTATAAACTGATTGTGAAAGGGAAACAACATGCCTTTCCGTCTATTTGTGTTGCTTGCAAATTTGCCTATGTTACATTTGGTTCCTTCCTCCAATTAACCTGTATCCCACTCAGTTGTATGCCAACTTTTTAAACACACCTTTTACCACTCCCAGACCTCAACCCCACCAACCAAACATCAAGCCACCATTATAGTCACTGACCTTATTGCCTTAGCGACCTTCCTTGTTGATGGACTCCAACTTTATAGTCCCCAACCTCACACTACTTCCATTTCCTTCCCATGATCCACAAACAACATTGCATGAGTGGAATCATAAGTTCAAGCCTATCCAGGCTTCATAGAACTGATTTTTTTCTCAAGTTATTGTCATCCTTGTCCTGTCTTTACTCAGCTACAACAACAACAACCTATGATCCCTCTAATTTCACCTGCCACTGCAACTTCTGGAACCAGACATCAATTAGTTCACATGCCAATCAGCAAGTACAAACCCTCCAAACGGTTGCGGCCACACTGCTAAGAGGAAACTTTGTTCTAGTGCCCTCTCTTTGTACATGTCCAATCTTTAGACTCTAATTCTGAATCAGGCTGTAGCTTTATTCAATAAAGGTCCAACTAGGCCCCAACCATTCTCAATACCCCTCTCTACATGGATGAACCTATACTCTCAACTTTATAAAATCCACATCCTTCCTCCAAATAAAAGGCTTGCTATGGGAACTCATTTAAGTCCTGAATATACCTGCCTTGTCATAGGAAATGCAGAACATCCTTTATTCCAATCCCACTTTGGTGCCGACCCTCATTGTTATTTTCCTGGTACATTAATAACTACATCTGTTCCACTTCCTGATTTTGGATGAACTAGAAAATCTCATCAACTTGACCCTAATTTCCACCCTTGCCTCCCCATTATTTCTAACATTTGTAAGCATGGATTCCATTTACATCTCATCTAGACCCATCTCTTGTTCCTTGAAAACTACAACTGGCCATACTATCAATTCAGGAGTTCTCAATTCTGATATCTCGAGATACAAGTAATTCCTTCCATTTTTATCCCCAACACTGACATTGCTCAATTTGAGGGGTACAAGCCAAAGTGGGATTGGGGGGGAAGCTTCAGCTGAATATGAAACTCCAACAAAATTAAGTTGTTAATTTAATTTTCATTTTCAGTTTCAACTTCAGTTAAGATGAATCATAATATATGAGCCTTGCACTTTTTGCTTATTTTGATAACTGCCAAATTTTGTGTCCAACATCTGAATCTGAATGCAGAGGAAATGCTGAATTAATGTAATTCAATTCAAATTAACGTCAAACTATTGCATCATAATTCCAAATACCATTTTAGGACTCTGGCATTTTACTGCAGTATACATTGCTAGCTTCAGAACAGGAAGAATGATGAATGAACTGATCCCATGTGTACCACATCGGTTATCAATTCCCTTGATGCTGTATGTACACACACACGCACACGCACACAGATAAAAATCAAACTTGCAAAGTACTAGGTTTATAATTAACTGTCAGAATTTAATCTAGCATTCAAAGTTACGAGTTAAGCAACCCAGTATGTAAACAGCCTCCCTCGAGAATGTGATCACCTTCTTGAAGTGCAGCAATTCCTTCTATTCAGAGATGGAGGAACTATTAGCCTTGTCCAACTGGGCACTGACATGACTCAGTGAGAACTTGGGAAGTGATTCTCTTGTCATGTTCTTGGTGCCCTTATCCTTCTTAGCAATGGAAGTTGCAGGCTTGTGAACTGCTGTCAGAACCACGCAACTTGCTGCCTTACACCTTGCAGCTAGTACATATTGCAGTCACTAACAAACACGGACCCTACAGCAGCTCATGTACCAATCAAGCAAATAAACACATTTCCTGAAATCGTGAAAGGCAAGGAAAAGCTACCCCATCTCCATTGCTATAAATTCACCACTCACATGGTAGAAATCCTGCTTACAAACACAAACCATCAAAAAAAACAAAAGAAAGAAAGATAAAGATTTTGAATTCAAATGTTGAGAGGTGGCGAGCCATTGGACATCACCATGATCAGAGGCAACAAATGAATGGAACAGAATACTGATAGAATTTTGAACACAGAATTTACAGGGAGGGACTCTGGAGGCTGATTGAGAACATTTCAGTCAAGCATCAACATTAACAAAACTAGCTAAAAGGCTAATCTCTGGTGCAAACTAAATTATTCCCTGAGAAACAATCAATCCAGATTGAGATTTTACATTTACGTGTAATAAATGCATTGAATAATTTTTTAGGTTCTATTAATGTTTTTGAAATGAAAAATTTCAATTCAGACATTGGCAATTGTTCCAATGAAGCTTACCAGACTACTGCATCCCTGTTGTCAAAAGTTGTTTTATTGGCAGATAAATACCCAAGTTGGCAGAATTTATCTAATTAAATTAAATATTGCAAATAATCACAATGGTTTAAAAATGGATTTTGTTCATAATATTCTCATCAGTTCTGCCTAGAATGTTAAATATGTGATGGAGTATTAGAAGCATTTTTACTATTGCACAAAATCACACCCAATTCTTCTTCAGTTGAAGAGCCATTGATGGTTACTGTCCCTTAAGAGATTAAAAAAGAAAGAGAGTAATGCAACAAATTGAAAATAATACTCTGCACAAGATCAAAAATTGTAACCACAGCACGAAATGTTTCTACAGACCAATTACATTTTTACCCTGAAAATGCAGCATAAAATTCAGGCAACACACAGTTCTTTATTAGAGGTGCAACAATTCAATTTTATTATCAGATCATATTAAGTTCCTTAACATCTTTTCAAACTTATACATTTATCATGTCACCTACTGAAATAAAAAAAATGAAGTTCCATAAGCATTTTGTATTTTTTTTTTCAGGCTACAGTTATACTCACTGCAAAAGCTGCTGAATCTGCTTCATCAATTTGAACAGAAGTTTCCCAGAAGGTAGTCATTGACTACTCTGCAGTGATTTAACAGTTAACTTCACATCCAACATCAAGAATAGGTTCATTAGAAGAAACCCCTGGAACCAGATTATTGAAAGCTGCACATGCTTCTCTGACTGGACTGAAGGGGTGGGGTGGGGTGGGGAGGGGAGGGGAGGGAAGGGAAAAGCAACAGTCCAAGAAATGGAAATTGTACAACTTGGCCTGGTAAAATTTGGTCCACAATGTATGTTTAACCATACAGATCATCATCATTGTCTTCACTGAACATGTTTCCACCACTGCCTCCTCCAGTTCCTTGGCTTGGTCCTGCACCTGCTTGACTACTAGATGGGAATCTGCAAGTAGTAGAGGCAATGTTAGCCTTAATGTTAAAATATATTTTAGTACCAAAAAATATTGCAACGCATTGATTCTAGTCAGATCTATTTGATAAAATTAGGGCTAAGATAGGATTTGGTGTGATTTTACTTAAACCAAAACAAACGTTGCTGAATTTAAACTAAACACTACATACAGTTAGCACAATTTATTATATTAATAAACAAAGAACAGTCGAGGTTATGCTTGGGGTGATTTCTCTCAGCCAGCTGTGCCCTTACCTTCTGAATGTAATGACTCAGACAAATGGCACTGGATGCCATTTGAGTTAAATGTCTACTGTTCATTTGAGAGCAGATTGTATCTTGGTGTGCTATAACACCTAGTGTCAATGAAGTTTATCTCAGTCCCATTCAGAGTCCCTCAGTGGTGGTCAGATGGACTTTTTCTTTTGATGCAAATTGAGCTATAACCCACCAGATCAGGTAATATGAGTCATTTCTTGAGAGGACACTTGCTTAGCCTGAATTACAGCCAATTTGAGGCACTATGTTTTAGAAAACACATACAGCAAGTGCAGAAAAGATTTACAATAAAACAATTTCAGTTAACTGAATAGATTAGAGAGACTAAAACTACTCTTAAATATGAAAAGGTTGAAAGATTTGATGGAGATATTCAAAATCATGTGGGGTCTGTATACAGTAAAGAGAGGAAAACTGTTCAGACTGAGGACAGGATCAACAAATAGAGGACACCAATTTAAGGTGAAAGGCAAAAGAACCAAAGACAACATATGGAAAAACTTGAAATAATTGTTTTGCATTAATAAAAGCATAGGGGACAAAAAAAATAGTAACTACAGGCCAGTTATCTTAACATTAGTAATCAGGAGAGTGTTAAGTTAGCTTAACATCAGTAATTGGGAGAGTGTTAAAGAGTCTAGCAGAGCATTAAGAAATGCATAACATGATCAAGCAGATTCAACAGAGCTTCATGAAGAACAATCATGCCCGACAAATGTACTACAATTCTTTGAGGAGGTAACAAGCTAAATAGAGAAAAGGAGAAGCAATGCATGTAATACCTTTGGATTTTCAGAAGGCATTTGGTAAGGTACCATACAGTAAGACTACTTAATTTAAGAGTACATGGTGTTGGAAGTAATATATTAGCATGGATGGAAGACTGGCTAACTGATAGATGACAGTTGGAATTTTCACGAGAGCAAATTGTAACTCCACAGGAATCAGTATTGAGGGCACAATTATTTACATATGTATAAATGACTTGTACGAGCAAAGCGAATGTGCTATGGTCAAGTTTGTGGATGACACACAAATAAATGGGAAGGCAAGTGGTGAGAATGACTCAGTCTGCAGGACATATACAGATAGAGTGAATGAATAAAAACGTGGTAGGTGGAATACACTGAGATTATGCACTTTGCCAGGAAGAATATAGGAGCTGATTATTACTTAAAATGGAGAAAGACTGTAGAAAGCTTTGGAACAGATTGATTTTGGGAACACTTGCCTATGAATCACAAAAAGCTAGCATCCAAGTTCGAGATAGTAGGAACTGCAGATGCTGGAGAATCCAAGTTCAGTGGGTAACACAGAAGGAAAATGGAATCTTGGGCTTTATTTCAAAGGGAATGAAGTATAAAAGTAGGAAGGTTTTGCTAAAACTATGCAAGGCTTTAGTCCGACCTGGAATATTGTGAACAGTTTTGGGTCTGTTACCCAAGAAAAGATGCACCAGTATTGAAGGCAGTCCAAAGAAGGCACACTAAGTTGATACCAAGTACGGAAGGATTGTCTTAAGAGGACAGATGGAGTAGTTTAGACCTGTACTTGTTGTAATAAAGAATGAGAGGTGACCTTATTGAAACATACAAGATTCTTAAACTTGACAAGGTAGAGGAGGAAAGATTGTTTCCCCTTGTGCAACTGTCTAGGAATAGATGGCATAATCTCTGTATATAGCGGGATGGGAAGATGTGGAGGAATGCCTTTTCTCAGACAGTAGTGACGTGTGAAATTCTTCACCAGAGGGTTGTTGAGGCTGAGTCTTTAAGTATTTTCAAGGCTGAAATAGACAGATATTTAGTCAGTAAGGGGTGTCAAGGGTTATGAAGAAATGGCAGGAAAATGCAACTGAGGACTATCAGATCAGCCACGACCTTACAGAACAGCAGAGCAGACTTGATGGGCTGAATGACCTCTTTCTGCTCCTACGTCTTATGGTCTAAAGTGGGTTAGGATCTGAAATGCACTGCTTCAATATGTATGCGGTTCAAGCAGATTCAATTCTGGCATCTGGGAATTAGATAATTAACTGAACAGAAAAATGTACTGAGAAAGGTCAAGAAGACAAAAATTTGAAGGGCTGCAGAGAAACAGAGTCTGGAAAAGTGTGGGTGAGTGAGAGTAGACAAGTTACTCTTCTTTCTGTACTGTAACCATTCTATGTTTAAGATATTCCTGGCACCTTTGGCTCAACATATGCATAGGCACCCAGCACATTTCACTGATTTGTTACTTGAACGCCTATATCTCAGCCACCCAGTCAGTAAAACTCCTCTCAGCAACTATCCTGTCAAGTCCCTCTTCTGATTACATCGCAATCCCTGAAAGATCCCAACGGCAGGACAGACTGATGATGCAGTGGTAAACACCCTTACTAAATGCACTTCATTTCATTTATTTAGCATTTTATTTACAGGTAGATCTCCTATAACAGTGCTAGTTGTGTTCTTGTGTGACCTTGTGCCACAGGAAATCACATTACAGGGAAATTGCTATACTGAACAGCAGAAAGTTTGTGTTTCAAACAGCATCCACTGTTCATCAGTTGCATTACAGCCAATTCGTGTCAACGAAACACGCGTTATAGCAAAATTATCCATAATTCATTTTTGGGGATTGCATCACTGGCAAGACTAGCATTTACTGCCCATTTTCAATAGCCATTTCCTGAATGGCTTGCGACAGCTAATGCAGAGGACAGCTAAGGGCATTCCTGCAGTCTGGAGTCACACACAGGCCACTCCAGGTAAGGATTACAAATTACCTTCCATAAAGGACATTGTTGTAAATACCTCTCTTGTTCACCAATGGACAACGATTACATTATCACTAAAATAAAACAAAGAACTGTAGATGTTGGAAATCTGAAGCAAAGACAGAAATTGCTGGAAAAACTCAGCAGGTCGATGACCCTTCTTTTGGAAATTCTGTCTCAGACCAATGGTTCTACGATGTGCATTGGAATCCCATTATGACAGGTTGTGAAATTTGATTTCTGTAAAAATCCAGAATTAAAAGCTAACTGTGATCATGCAACAAATAAAAAATGAAACTGCTGGAAAACTTCAGTTGTGAACAGAAACCAGACTTAATGCTTTGACGTAGGGTCCTGAAGTAGGGTCACAAATTTACCATCTGTCATGGTGAGATTCAAATTCACATCCCCATCTGTGACTGGATTTCTAGTGCAGTGACATTACCACTAGCCCACTACCTCTACCCCCACCCCAACTATGAAGGTGGACACCAAGTCCCACGGCATCAAGTCAAAAGTTTTGGCATCACAATGATCCGGAAAAGATCAAATAAATCAAAACTGGGAATCTATAATTTAGGTGGATCATCAACAGCATCATTCTGCTTTATCATCTGTGACCTCATGACACTCAAATTGATCATCATGATCAAGCCAGGAGTTTGATGAGGATTGCATGAAATATGCCAGGAACAGTGTCAAGAGATAGCCAAAAATGAAGTACAACATGAAGCAGCTATAAAAATCAATGCAAGTTAATCTTGCAACAGACTAAGACAAGCAATCCCACAACTAATAAAATCAGGTAAAGGCACTCAAATCCTGCCACATCAAGTCATGAAAGGTGGATGACAACAAACTAACTGCAAGAGGCAGCTTCATGTACTTTTAAATCTACTTTTTGTCCCCATTTTTCAAAATAGCACAGCATGGATTTTTGATCTGATCTCCAGCCAAACTGTGTCCTTATTTCCCAAACTAAGATCACTAGATGCTGTTTTTAGACCACCCTTTAATATTATAGCTTCTTCCTTTTCCCCATCCAAAAGTAAGTAATTCTCAATATTTAGTTCCTAACCTGGATCACACTACAACTAAGCTTCTATAACCGAGATCAAATGGATTTAGTTTTTTTTGAAAGAAATGTTTCAAGGAGATACAAATAAGAGCAGGCCACTCGGCCCATCGAGCCTGCTCTGCCATTCAGTAAGATGGTGGCTGAACTGATTCTAATCTTGACTCTACAATCTGTAAACCTCTGATAATCTTTCATTGCCTTGGTCATCAAAAGTCTATCTACGTTATCTTAAAATTATCTAAAAGATTCTACATCCAGCACCTTTTGAGGAAGGGAATTCCTAAGACAACACTCAAAAAACGATGCCCTCATCTGTTTTAAATGGACTCCCTGTTATTTTTAAATTTATGACTCCTAGTCCTAGTTTCTCCCACAAGAGGAAACATCCTTTCAACTTCTACTCGATCAGTCCTTTCAGGATCTTATACAGGCAGTCCCTGGGCTGCAAATATGTTCCGTTCTGTAGTCCGTTCACAAATCGATTTGTATGCAAGTTGGAATGCAGGACAATGTACTTAGGAACAGCTGCTTTACAAGAAATGTTCTTATGTCAGATCTTTAAAATTACAACCATGTATGAGACTGAATTCATATGTTCAATGTTCGTAAATCAGGCATCCCTGATATATTTTAATTAAGTCACCTCTGATACTTCTGAACTCCAGAAAATTCAAGGCTAAACAGTATAGCCTTTCCACATAAGGCAATCCACTTGTGATTCATACTGTTTGAACCACCAATTCAACTGGGACAACACCAAGATCCTGGGACAAGCAAAGCAGAGACAAGCACGGGAATTCCTAGAAGCCTGGTACTCCACGAAGAAAGCCATCAACCTAATAGCCTGGTACTCCACCACGAAAGCCATCAACAAACACAGAGCTCGACCCCATATACACTTCACTGTGAAGGAAAACCAGAAGTGAGGTAATCCAGCTCAATGGACTCCAAAGTTTAAATAACAGGCAGGAAAACACAATGGTGCTTCATCGGAGGCTGCAATGACTATGTTACCTAGCAGAGTAATGAAACGTCTGCAGAGAAACAATGAACCAGCTCAGTGAGCCAACCAACCACAAGATTCTAATCTGATGGTCACTATGCCTTTCGAGTCTGTTCTGCCATTTACTAAGTTCATGGCTGAGATTCAGGGAGCAGCTGGGACTTTTTTATTATGCGATTGATTGTGAGCCAATCTGCATGAAGGAATCTCTAAACTACACTGTAAACAGAGTCACAAACATTGAATGCAAAGAAGAAACATGAAATTTAGATCCAAGAAGTTTCACAAAGAGACAAAGGAAATTAAAGTTATTTGTTCATCAGAAGCAAATCAGTATACAAGACTATTTCTGTCATGACCGTCACCTATATACAACCACATTATTTGCAGATTTGTACAAAACTGTTAATGTGCACCAGGGAACCTTCTAACATGTCACACCTCAAGTAAAATGATAAAGGATACAAAAATACTTGCCTGAAACTGCCAAATCCACGACTCTGCTGCAGTGTTTGTGCAAACATTTCATACTTTCGAATATCATTATCACTGACGGAGCGGCGTGCATAGCGCATAGCTTCCTCAAAATGGTCCTTGCGTATCTCAGGAACAGGATCATCTTCTTCAACCTCCTGCAATTAAAGCCATCAAGTATTTTAATAAGCCTCATTAAAGACAGAAGTCAATAATAGGTTTGGAATAAACAAAAACAGACATTTAATATTTAGTTAGTATAACGGTTACTGATAATTGTGCACCTACCATAGCCGAAGGGTTGCCTTGTCTTTCACGTTCTCGTCTGATTTCGCTTTCAATAGATTCTCTGATTGCAAGTTTACAGGCTCGCTGACAGATTTCAGTCAAATCAGCTCCAGAAAACCCATTGGTGGTCTTGGCCAAATATTCCAAGTCAACTTCCTACAAAGTGACATTCATGGAACATTACATCATGAACAAATTTCTCATGAATACAAACAATATTCAATGATAATGATACAGTTAGGTGATTGAACACAGAACTTGGATCCCCAAATAAAGACGAACCTCTTACAATCAGCGAGCATCTTGTAAAATAATCCTTAAGGTTCAGTTTTAAGTTAACACGTGCAAGTTAGTAAGCTAAAAGTTCAATAGAATGCACTTCAGAATAATGAAATACTAGTAAACCTATCCTAAAGACGACTATCATAAGCTCACAGCTTCCTCACATCTGATCCACCTTCGTTTAAAAAAAAAACTTAAGCGAGGATAGCCCTAAAGCAGATGAACTATTAAAGGTTGAATTCCATGTGCTACAAATCGGATTGCTGGTTGGCAAGGTCAAGTGTCAAAAATCATGTAACAGCCGCTTTTAAAAAAACTTCTGAAATCCAGGTTCATGAAAATCTACCGAAATACACAAGAGATCTTACATTTTGGTACAGAAGCCCATGAGTCTGGGAGAACAAACAATCAAATCAGTGGCAAGGAGGTTGGTTAGGAGATTTAAAAAAATGTGCAAACCAAGTACTCAGGCTTATTTGTAGAAGGACTGAACTGAAAAGGAGAGAAGTTATGCCAAACTGCTCATATATTGGTTGGCCAAACAGTTAGTGAAGGGAGCAGGAGAAAAAAAAAGTGGTCAACAGTACCTAGAGAAGCAGGCAAGAGGGAGACCCCAAGCCAGTCAGTCTGATTTCACAGGGGACTGATCACTCCGACATCATACAGGAAAACAGGTAGCTGATTCATTGGTGAGTGTTTTTCTCCTTTATGTTTTGAAACTTGGGTAATCTTAGTAAACGTAAATTGTTGGTAGAAGGTTGACTAATAACAGTAAAGCTTATTAGACTGCTGAGTATTTCTTGTATCTCAACTAGGAAATTGCAATTGTACTACAATTAAGGAAGAAATTCTGCTAAAGGAATCTAAGCAGCTATGGGTAAATTAGAAAGCAACATCTTAAAAGGCAATCGTTTCTGGATAGTCCCGTGCCACGAGCAATTGGTCATTGGGTAAGTAAGCTCAGAGAGATAAATGCACGACCAGAAAAACAGTGAGAAATGTATTTCAAGTCATAGCATTGACATCAGTACTGGGAAAACAGGAGCTCTCTACCATTGGATCAGTTTTTATCGGTGTTAGGGCCAGTGAACTTGTGAATTCTTTAACTAAGGCAGTAGGAAGTGCTTTAAAAACTAAAAGTTAGAGACACTGATCTTATAAGAGAAAGTGTGGTAAATCAAAGAGAAACAAGATGAAAGAATTGGGTTGTAATTTGGGCAATGATACAGGAAAGGATGAGACAGACAACACAAATTTAACAGTGCAACAGCAGATAAGATAGCAAAAATGATAATAACAACAGAATTCAAGGTTCTGCATCTCAGAAATGCAGCGTTCATAACAAAGTGGATGAATTGTTAGGACAGCTAAAATAAACATGTATAACCTGATAGCACAAGTCAGTCCTAAATACTGAGGGAGATTTGATATTTCACAAAGACAGGAAGCTAGGATAGGTGAGACAGCTTATCAAATTAACATTATCATTAGTAGAGTGGTGAAAGATGATCTTAGTTCAAAATGCAATACATAGAATCGGATGGGGGAGAAGAAATAAGAAATAGAAAAGTAAAAAGTCAAAAGTCACTTGAGTTTAGTCTATAGGCCCTCAGACAGGAATAAAAAGGGCACGTAAGAAAGGAACTGCAAGAATCACGAGTGACTTTAATCCACATGTAGACTGCATGAACTACATTGGAAAAGGTGACCTAAACAATGAGTAAATGGAGAGTTTCCAGAACAAGAGATAACAAGGTGTAGAGCTGGATGAACACAGCAGGCCAAGCAGCATCAGAGGAGCAGGAAGGCTGACGTTTCGGGCCTAGACCCTTCAGAAATC